AATGTAAACTAGTTCAACCATTGTGGAAAGCAGTATGGAGGTTCCTCAGAATGCTCAAAATAGAAATACCATTTGACCCAGGAATTCCACTTCTAAGAATTTACTCTAAGAATGCAGCACTCCAGTTTGAAAAAGACAGATGCACCCCTGTGTTTATCGCTGCACTGTTTACAATAGCCAAGATATGGAAGCAACCTAAATGTCCATTAGTAGATGAATGTATAAAGAAGATGTGGTACATATACACAATGGAATATTACACAGCCATAAGAAAAAAACAGATCCTACCATTCGCAACAACATGGATGGAGCTAGAGGGTATTATGCTCAGTGAAATAAGCCAAGCGGAGAAGGACAAGTACCAAATGATTTCACTCATATGTGGAGTATAAGAACAAAGGAAAACTGAAGGAACAAAACAGCAGCAGAATCACAGAACTCAAGAATGGACTAATAGTTACCAAAGGGAAAGGGACTGGGTAGGATGGGAGGGAAGGGAGGGATAAGGGTGGGGAAAAAGAAAGAGGGCATTACGATTACCATGTATAGTGTGCGTGGGGGTTACGAGGAGGGCTGTGCAACACATAGAAGACAAGTAGTGATTTTACAGCATCTTACTACACAGATGGACAGTGACTGTGAAGGGGTATGTGGGGGGACTTGGTGAAGGGGGGAGTCTAGTAAACATAATGTTCTTCATGTAATTGTAAATTAATGATACCAAAATAAAAAAATAAAAATAAATAAAAAAAATACACCCACAAATTCTTTCATAACTCCCCCCTTAAAAGGGTGAGTCTAATTCCCTTCTACTTGAGGCTCAGCTGTACTTGGTAACTTGCTTCTAATGGACAGAATATGGCAGAAATGACTGTGTTTAAGTCCCAAGACTACATCATTAAAGGCATGTGGCTTTCCCTTGCTCTCTTGCTGTCTTGGATCACTTGCTCTGGAGGAAACCAGCTGCCATGTTGTGAGGCCATTCAAACAGTCCCAGGGAGAGAACCACATGGTGAGGAACTGAGGCCTCCTGCCAACCAGCCAGAGTGAAACTAAGGCCTCCTGCCCATACCCACATGAAGGCGTCATCTTGGATGCATATCCTGGCCCAGTCAAGCCTTCACATGACAGTAGCCCTGGCTGACATCTTGACCACAACCTCAAGAGAGATGCTGTGCCAGAACCTCCCAGCTAAGCTGCTTCGGAATTCTAGACCCACAGAAACTATGAAATAATTAACACTGGGTGCCTTAAGCTACTGAGTTTGGGGATAACTTGTTACACAGCAATAGATAACTCACCAGGTGTGAAACATTGGGTGAGTTATTTCACCTTTCCAGGTCTCAATTTCCCATCTTTATAAGATAGAGATGTTACCTGTTAGGAGACAATCCTCCATGGTATCTCATGTTTATTTATACATGTCCTTTGAACAAAGGTACTGGCTTTTCCAGGATATATGTATAACAGTCTTGGAAGACACAGACCGTTTCTCCCTCCAGAGCCAAGGTAGGCAGGCTTTCTGCCCACCATGAAAGATTCAGGCCCCTGAACTCACTTTTCCTATCATACAACCCACTGCACAGCAAGGTGTTACTTAGCCCACAGAAGGTCACCCTGTGAGAGCTGGAGCTGGGGGCACCAGGGCAGGAACATGACATTCCGGCTACTCTTATGGATCTGAGTAATAAAGTCCTTTGTCTCTGCCCCAGGAGCTTCATGTCTTCTGCCAGCATTCGTGAAACTGTGGCAGGCTCACCTGTCATCTTGCAAGGAAGAAAAATATCACAGACCCTTCCCAAGTCTTAGCATTGCTGCCCTCATACGGTTGTTCTGCAAACTGCACGCATTGACCCCGGCAGAGCACTGTGCGTGGTTCCTGGTGCCTGGCAAAAGCATTCAATAACTTACCTATTATGCTTGTTGCTACTGTAAACACTCACTGTCTGTGCTGCCATCAGAGCTGTCATCATCACTGTGTTTCAGGGCCATCTCCAGCATGCTGGTGCTGTCATCGTACACCACGCAGTATCTCACACACTCCAGATCCACAGACTCCGGGATAAGGTATTCATTTGCCTTCTAACAAAACCACAAGAGAGGTCCGTTGGCAAGTTCAAGTGTTTCTGGCACAGCAGCCCCAGGCAGAGCTGGACATAGGACAGGGCCCGCTCCCCTGATCACACACACAGGCACGGAGGCACCAAGATTGGACCAGAGGATCCGCTGGGTTTCAGGGACCTGCCACACCCACACCCACTGCTGTGAAAAGCTGATCACAGCAAAGTCAACTGCAGATAGGTGCCTGGTCACAGAACAGCTGGTCTACAGCCCAGGCCACGAGTGCCATCAGAGCAACTGTGGCCAACTGAACCGATGGCATCATCTCTCTGGGGGTCAGTGGTTGGCAATGGGGACCAAATCCAAACTCCGCCACAGAGAGAACACTAAGCAGAAGGCATGAATAAGCAGGAGTCATGAGCAAGCAGCTTTGACGAGGCAGACTATGAGCTCGTTGAGAGCGGGAGCTTTGGCCCCTTCACAGTCACTGATGTATCCTGAGCTTCTATAACAGGGCCCAGCACATGGTTAGCCATAAATATGGTTAAGAAAAGAAATGGACAAACAGAAACCATGAGGTCATAAGGAGTAGCTGGGGAGAGGCTGTCGCCATAATGGGGGATGGCAGATGCTTTCTGCTAAGGAGGTGATGAGCTCCTGCAGTACCAGAACTGCCCAGGGTCCCACAGGGTGTTTCTGAGCTCAGGGAGGCCTGGTAGGCAGCAGCTGAGAGGTTAGCCTTCATTTGTTCTCAATGCTTCCAGGAAGCCCCCACTATTCAGAGCACCTGAGCCTGACTCCATCCCTTACAAGCTGGTCCAGCTGACACCAAGGCCCTAACAAGTGGGACGGAACGAGAGCACATCTACTGCCTACAAGACAGTGAGGTGAGGCCCACGGAGGCCCAACCAGGGAAGCACTCTGGGACTCAAAGGGTAGGGATCCTGTTTGTCTAAAGGAATCACAAGACAGATGGCACTCAGAGGACAAGCAGGATTTAGACAAGTGCCCTGCAGGAAAGTGGGGCTCTGGGTGTGGAGAAGAACACAAGGAAGAGGAGAGGTGTGGTCAGCCCAGAGACGCTGGAGCAGGTGGGCAAGCAGGAGAGATGTGGCTGGACTTTTGGTGGTCTGTTCAATAAACACTCACTGAGGACCCACTTTGCACTATGCTGGGTGAGGTTCTGAGATACAGATTCAAAACAGAAAAGGTAAACGCCTGAGTCGGCCTCAGGGACTCAGAGAGTCCGCACAGAGCAGGAGGCATCTGAGATGAGCCCACAAGAGTGAGTAGAACTTTGCATGATGGACAAGGGTTAGAGTGTCCAGGCAGAAGCAACAGATTCCGGTCACGCCATTAAGTCAACAACCTACCAAATACCAGAGACCAAGCTGAGCATCCAGGATACAGCGGTGAGCAAAGCATGCACATCCCTGTGCTCATGGACAGCAGTGTGCTGAGAGGCTCACACACACTGTACTTCCTGCATTTTAAGAGACCATTTGTCCTAAGATGTGCCACCCATTTAATAATAGTTGCCATCAGGAGGATACGCAAAAGGAGGGATTTATTGGCATATAACAATACTTCAGGGAGAGTGGGGACCAGCTGGTCCCCCGGAAAACTTGAGGCGGGGCTCTAAAGCCCAGACTGCCCTCTCAGGTGCCCTTACTCTCTGCTTTCCCTGCACACTGACTCCACCTTCTCAAACAACTTTCTCTGGAGGCCTGAGTCCCGGCCACCAGTGATGCTCAGACTCCTATCCTCCAAACTCCAGCACTTGAACAAAAAAGAGCCACCTTCTCTAATTCCAATTCTGACTTGCTGTTTTCATACTAGGCCTGTAGCCAAACACTGTGGCCAAATCCAGATACTATTTTAGGGAGCACCTCTAGGCCCCCCGTAGCTTGAGCAGGACAAGGAGGACATCACCTCAAAAAATAGGGCAGGGGGCAGGTGCCAGGCAGAACAGGCATCTGGATTCTACCACAGGTATCTACTACATCTCCTTGGGAAAAAAGATGCTTGGTATCAAGAGTGCCAATCAGTTATAGGACGTGTTCCAATTTCAGAAATGTTAAAACATGTGCATCTTAGACCATGGGGACGCAGTAGGGTTGCGTTGTTGAGGAGTCAAGATGGGGCTGAGAAAGGAGGTGGAATCGGATCTGGGAAGGCCGAGGTGGGCACTGTGTCCTGCTAGGGGCTAGGTGTCCTTGAGGCTTGCAATCAGAGGCAGGAAAGCTGAGGTGGGGAGGCGAGAGGTATCAGCCTGGCTGAGGCAGAGAATAGCTCTTTTCCACACCGGGGATGCTGCCAGAATCAAAGGAATAAGCAGACTTGAAAGCTGAGCTGGAGGCCAAGGGTGATGCATCACAACAGGACTCTGAGCAGGCTACAGAAAGCAGAGAAATGTGTGAAATGGGGATTGAGAGCCAGAGACCTGAAATCCCAGGGAAGTAAAAAGTAGATGATGATGGGTTGGGGTGGGGAAGGCAGTATTGGGCAGCAAGCCTGTCCTGGAACAATGCCTGGGCCTGGGCCCATGCTCCCTGTCAAGACGTGTGTGGGGAAGGGCCATGGCGGGTGCCTAATGGCACAGTGGCAGTAAGAATTGGTCAGGGTGGGAGGTGAGGGGGGTGGTAAGACAAAATTCTCGAAGTAAAATGGACAGGAGAGCTAACTGTAGCTGGACAGCTGAAGCTGGAAGCCTGGGTGAAATCTGAGTGAGAAAATGCACTGGCAGGTATGGAGGAGAACAAGGACAGGCCAGTGGGTTTCTTTCAGCAGCAACAGGAGAAAATGCAGCTGAACCAAAGAGAGAGGAAATCAGTCAAGTGAGAGAGAACTTGGGAGTCAAAGGCAGGGAATGTGGTCAGGAGTGCAGAGGTCAGAGGGAGATCCTGGTGAAGGCTGCCAGGTATGGCAATGACACGAGAGAGAAGACACCCTCTGGGCAAGGAGAACAGGGCCTCCTGCAGGACGGGGTCATGAAGGGTGCATGCAGGGCTGGCTTCTAGAAAAGTTGGAATGGAGAGAGGAAGGGGAAGAGAAAGGAGGCACTTCCATGTTTGGATTATAGTAATTATCTCTGTGGCTTACTGTCAGCTCCCTAAGTGGAACAGAAGACAATGGACCAAGGGCATCTTGCATTCTGTGTATCCCCAGGGTCTGGGACACTGCCTGGCATGTCAAGAAATTTTATCAATATTTGCTCAGTGAAGCTGTTGACCATGATGGGGGTCTTGTGACACCTTAGGGAGTGTGGGAGACATCAAGGGGGATGCACAAGGGTGGTCCTGCCTCTGTGCCCAGTGTCCAACTGCAGGTGCTACCTCCTGATCTAAGGTAAAATCCTCATTCTCCCCCCACTCCCGTAAGGCAGCCAGCCTCCCTGGACTCTGACTCTGCTGGGGTACCTTCTTCACTCTACGGGCTGTAATCACATGGCTTTCATCATATTCCCGCTTGGAACGCACATCTGAAAAGGAAAAGCAATTAATTTTTTAAAGCATGTATTTGCAAAGGAACACATGACCGAACTCCGTAGAGTACTTACATCATTATCATCAACATATATTTGTTTGGCAATAAGGAATAGTTATGGGCAGTTGCCCACATGGCTCCCCTGCCACTTCACATCCATATCCACACATCCCCTTAAAAGGTGGTAAGACTTTGTATCTTTGATTTAGGTCCAAAAAGTGGGAAGGGGAGAAATCAAAGTCAGAGTGAGCTCAAACTAAATGCTGCATGAAATTTTCAACCCAAATTCAGACTCTAGAACCTAGGAGCTGAGGTTCTAATGGCCCTGCTATGACAGAAGGTATGGTATTGACATCCTCAAAGGTGAGAGGAACATGGAACACAAAGAGAGCCTCATGCATAAATCCTAAAAAGAACTGTTATCCGAAATATACAAAGAATTCTTAAAATCTAACAATTAAGAAAGCAAACGACCTGATTTTAAACTGGGCAAAAGATATGACAGACACACCACACCAAAGAAGATATACAGATAACAAATAAGCATATGAAAAATGTTTCACACTGTATGTCCTCATGGAAATGCAAATTAAAACAAAGAGATATCTCTATACACCTATTAGGGTGTCAAAAATCCAAAGCACAGATAGTACCAAATGCCGGTGAGGATGTGGAGCAACTGGAACTCTCATTCATTGCTGGTAGGAATGCAAAATGGTACAGCCACTTTGGTGGACAGTTGGGCAGTTCCTAACAAAACTAAATATATACTCTTATCAGCAATACTGTTCCTTTGCATTTACCCAGATTAGTTGAAAACTTATGACCACAGATGTCTATAGCAGCTTTTTTCTTAACTGTCAAAATTTGAAAGCAACAAAAATGTCGTAAAGATGGTGAATAGATAAACTGTGGTCCATCCAGGCAATGGAATATTATTAAGCACTAAAAAGAAACAAGCTATTGAGCCATGAAAAGACATAGAAGAAAGCTAAATGTGCATTTAAGGGAAAGAAGCCAATCTTAAAAGGACACGTACTACATGATTCCAAGCATATGACATTCCTGAAAATAAAAAAAACTATGGCAACAGTAAGATCACAATGGTTGCCAGGCTTACAGGGGGAGAGTGAATGAAAGGGCAGAGCATAGAGGATTTTTAATGCAAAACTATTCTATATGATACTGTAATGATGGATACATGTTATTGTATATTTGTCAAAACCCATAAAATGTATACCACCTAATGTAAACTGTGGGCTTTGGATAGTAATGATGTGTCAATACAGATTCATCAACTGTAAAAAAATATCACTCTGGTATGGAATGGCGGTAGTTAGGGAGGCTATGTTTGGAGGTGGAGGATAGGGCATACAGGAACTCTTGAACTTTCTGCTCAATTTTGCTGTGAACCTAAAACTACTCTGAAAAATAAAATCTATTTTTTTTTTAAAGACATAAGAAAGAGCTAGCCAGAAAATAAAATACTGATGAATCTAATGCCATTACAAGTTAGAACTCCTATCTCTTTTCATTAAAAATCAACATTAAAAAAGTAAAACAGTGAGCTATGAGACAATATAAATAATACAAATAACCAAAAAAGACTCGTATCCAGAATTTATTAAGAACTCATAAATGAGTGGAGAAAAAACCTCCAAACATCTGAAGATACATTATCTGAGGATATCTTCATTTTAAGACATCTTTGCAAACAGCTGGAGGCCACATCCCTAGGCTGACCCCATCCCCTTTAAAGCACCTGCCTGAGATAACTCAAGGCTGCCAAAAGAACTCACTGTTTGTTCCAGCCAACACCTTCGGACAGGGCCCCCATATCCCAGCCTCTGTTTGGAGGTAGGAACCTAATTTTGATAAATGTCAGTTAGCTAACCCACACTGGTTTCATGTGGACAGCCCCCCACACGTTTTGTAATTTTTCACTTTCCCGGCTGTACTAAGACCGGACACACTCCCCTAGCTCTGTGCTCCCTCCCTCTCCCTAAAACCCACAGTCACCTCTATGCAAATTAAACTAGAGTTCATTTCACACTGGACTCTCCCCTACTGCAATATTACTGATTAAAATCTGTCCTTACTAGTACCTGGATTTGTTTATCTTTGACAATAGCAACAAAAATGAGCCAACTATAGTATACTACTTCATATGGTGAATCGTAATAATATAATCTTAATCTATAATGATATAAATCACCAGAATGGATATTAATAAAATCTTGACCAAAAAATGGTAATGGTTTAAAAACTAGTTAAACTAAGTATACTATGTAGTATACTCATTTCACGCATTACATAGATGTGAAAATTTGAAATAAATAGCCAAATCGAACTGTGTGTGAAAAAATAACTTAGCGTGATCTAGGAGAAACTTTATGTAATATTAGAAGTATCATGTTAAGATATTAAAGGGAAGTGTATGTTCATTTCAATAGATGCTGTTAAAATCAGAAATAGAGAGGAACCTTGATCATCCCCTCACCCCTCCACCCCCTCCCACCATGCCCTCCACCCCATAATCCCGAGCAGACAAAAACCAGTTAAATCATACAAAGAAAATTCAGCATGCAAGGTTAACTTGACCTGGATCACTTTATCAGCTGCTTTGTAACAATATTCCCCACCTCCCTACCCCTCCACCCCTACCTCTGCCCCACACCCCCTCACCCCCACCCCCCAGCCTCACTTCATGTTCTAGTCTGGATGCTCCTGGTTTTCTAACTGTCTTTTTGGTGTATGCACAGTGCATTGTTACTATTACCTAAGTAATTCACTGGTTTTATCAACTGTGGCTATTTTGAAACTTTGACAATGCAGAAAATTTTCAATTCACATTGTGAAAAAATTCTTAGTGAGTTAATTATACATGGTAAATTCCTTAACCTAATAGGTAAATTACTAAGTATCTATAGCAAACACACTGACTGGTAAAGTGAGAAACAAGACAAAATGCTCATTGTCACTGTTCCTCTTTAATACTTAAGACTGCTTCCAGAAAACAAGGCCTTTGATTGTCAGGCTAATTATAGGTTCTGAACCTTAATGCTATGTTTTTGTCCTTATTAAAAATTTTATCAAATGATTGTGCATTGAGTCCCCTATACAGAATTTTATTGTTGTTAATGACCATTTGATCAATAAATATGAGAGATGCCCTTTCAAAAAAAAAATTTATCAATAAAAAGTATATAGACATCTGGTCCAGTGGGCATTCTTCCATCTGACAAATGTGATATTTGCATGGAACTGCTGGGATCTTTTATTTTATCAGTTTCCCCCAACTGAACAGAACTGAAGCCAGAATTTTTCCCTTTTGATAAAGGAACAGAAAATTAACATGTTATAATGTACAATTTGATGACTATAGTTAATACTGTTCTATCACATATGGGAAAGTTAAGAGAGTGACTCTTAAGAGTTCTTATCACAGGGAGAAATTTTTAACTTTTTTGTTCTACCTGTATGAAATGATGGGTTAACTAAACCTACTATGTGATCATTTCACAATATAGGTAAATCAAACCATTGTGCTGTGCCTGTTGAACTTATACAATAAGGTATGTCAAGTATTTCTCAATAAAACTAGAAAAAAAGTTAATGTTATTTGTAAATTGATGTTCAGTAACTCATAATAAACTTGAAATACTAGACTATGCAGGAAATCTAATTCTAGGTAGTCTTATGAAAAGTGGATCTCTTTTAACTATCTTTTGAATTTATATTCACATTGGTTTTCAAGATATTTTAAGATATATTGTTTCCTTTTTTGATAAGGCTTCTAATCAAAAGACCACTGGATGTTTTGCCCTAGTTTTTTAAGGACCATTTTATTTCAGTCATGGGGTCTCTAACTTTGGGAACTATTTTGCATATGAGTCCAGATACAAATTTAAACCCAAGTAGTCCTCAATACATGTGCCCAATGAATACTGACTGTGGAAGGAATACCTTGCCTGTAGTATAATATCAAATATGAATAGCTGGAAAAGAAAACTTAATTTTCTTAGTTTCTGCATACATCAAAAAAACTTAAAACAACTAGTGTACCACATTTTCTCAGCAGATGAATTCAACCAATATTATTAATTCAGATTCAAGAAATTATTTGAACTTTGGTTTGGGTAGATTTACAACATACATGCAATCTTGACAAAATCTGATAGCTTTTCTGGTTTCACATGTGCCAATAGCACCCCATTCCATCCCCCAACCAATACACATCCATTGATTGAACTTTGTCAAATGGCACTGAAACAATGTTTTGTTACACCAACTTTATAAACCTTTAGAGTACAACACATTATTTTTCTGAGGTTAAACCAAGGGTAAATTTCTCAAGGTTCTTGCTGCCTGCTGTGACATCTGATAAAGTATCTTTCATACATTTGTGATGGATGAAGAATTAAACAGATTAAAGATCCTTTTTTACCCCACATTTTAAACCATGTACCAAGATTTGGGTCCAAACTGTGTAGGAAAAGTTAAACTTAAATTGCATTCTATTAACCAAAATGAATGTATTTCTATAAGCATAGTTATGTTGAAATAAAGTTTTAAAAAGCAAAACAGAGAGGATGGTGGCGTGAGTAGAGCAGTGGAAATCTCCTCCCAAAAACACATAGAGCTATGAAAATATAACAAAGAAAACTCTTCCTAAAATAGAGACCAGAGGACACAGGAAAACATCCAGACCACATCCACACCTGCAAGAACCCAGCACCTTGCGAAGGGGGTAAGATACAAGCCC